AAAATATCCTTAATATCGTGTAAGATTTTTTTTTCATTTTATTTTGAAGATATATTTTCATAGAAGAAACTGGTTCAAGAAATACAAGTAACAAGAAACGTTTCGTAAATGTAAAATGATGTAGGAAGGGCAGTGCCGAAAAAATGCAAACAAGAATGTAGGGATGATACAGATATATATAGTTAAGAGTGGCAAAACGTAAGCGGGAGCTACAATTAGTGCTTATAGGTGTCGTGCTAGCTGAATTTCGGTTTCACGCAAGACGGTTTATTATGTTAGCTTGTAAAATGCTGAAAGAGAAGATATAAGAAACAACTGGAGTCAGAAAATAACAGTGTCGACAAATAAATATGACTGATTTATCGTCTGTAAGTGTTGAGTAATTGGTTCACATGCTGTGGTTCAAATATAAACTTTATAATACATAGTAATAACTGTTTGAAGACCTCAGTAAATTATTGACGTTGTATTTATAATTCGAACTTAGTTATAAAAACTAATAATTTTACATAATATAGCATAATGTTTTGGGACAACATAGGACTTGTTGGTCTATCTCGGCTGTTCCATCCTCTAAACTAAATTAAAATAATTAAAAAAAAAAGCTTAAAGTTAAAGCCAGCCCTTATCGTTCATATACGTATTAAGCTTTTTTTAAAACTCACCTATATTTACAGCCTCTGAAGGCAACCCATTTCAAAGGCCAACCACTCCGTTAGTGTTAGGAAAATGAAACTGTCTTAACTGAAGATGACTCCTACCTTGCCAAAATTTATATTTGTGTCCCCTAGACCTACTATTCTCTCTGTTAAGTATAGAAAAATATGATGCATCAACACTATCAATTCCCTTTACAATCTTAAACACCTCAATCAGATCCCCCCTAACTCTTCTTTTTTCAAGAGACAACGACTTGAGAGATTTCAGCATCTCCTCATATGACAACCCCTCCATTCCAGGCACCATTATAGTAACCCTTCTCTGAATCCTTTCCAACATTTCAATGTCTTTCCTAAGGTAAGGAGCCCACAGTATTCCAAATGTGGCCTAACCAGTGACCTGTACAATGCAATTATAACCTCTTTAGACTTGTATTCAATATTTCTGTAGATACAACTTAGAATCCTATTTGCCCTACCACTAGCAACAGCACACTGCTTGGATGGCTTTAGAGACTGATCAACTATTACACCAAAATCCTTTTCCTTCATAACACTGTTAAGGTTATTCCCATCCAAATTATACTTATAATTCAAATTATAACAAACATGCATTATCTTGCATTATTATAATTAAAACTCATGTGTCATTTATTTGCCCAACTCACTAAATGATCTAAATTCTTTTGTAAGTCAGCAGCATCCTCTTCACAGCTAGCAACACCCAAGACCTTAATATCAGCTGCAAATTTAAGTAATTTATTGACTATTCCTTCATCTGTGTTACTGATGTAAATCAAAAAGAGCAAAGGTCCTAAGACTGAGCCCTGAGGTATCCCATTTGTGACATTAATCCAGTTTGCTTTCTTTCATCCAGCCACTCTTCTACCAATTTGCTAGCTTATCCCCCTTGAAGTCTAGTAATTGTAAGATCATCTGAGGTTTGATTCCCAGTGGTTAGCTTGTGCTTCTTTGCACTTAACAAACAAGTATTTTGAGAATATTTATAAATTATATATAGATTAGGAGAAAATTTACTGTTTTAGGTATATATGTTTTACTGGATTTCTATTTTTCTAAATTAGAAGACAGATGAACAAAATGGTTGTATATAAAATTGTTTTCCATAAATATATAAAATTTGCATTTTTTTCTTCCATTTATTAGCAAATTTCTTAACAGTTTAAGTGACACACTGTGGTTAAAAAAGAACTGACTTTCTGCTGAAATCAGTGTCTGTAAGATAGAAAGTCAATATTCTTATGTTTATATGTAGGGATAATCACTTTTGATTGGCTTCCAAATTTCCAAACCCTCAACAAAACCTTTGTGAACATCTTTTATTCATTTGTTTAAGGAATTTTCAGTATCTTAGCTACTCCTTACTGCAAGTGCTTATAGTTCAATTGTAAATGTATTACTTTCAGTTCTTCATATCCTTGATATTTGATATTAACAAAGTATTCTCATAGTTTTATAAAAACGCTTAAAAGTACTCAAATCTTGTTGAAAAAATATTGTGATTTTTATTTCTCTGAGATAATGTAATGTGATATTATTATAGTTTCATGTTATTTCCCTAGTGTACAAGAATGATGTGCAAATGTCTCCCTAAGTCTGGTTCAGTCATGCTACTAGCTAAACTTTAATGTTGTGCTTTACTTGTTTGTTCATTCAGATATATGATTGTTGTATATTTTAGGTGTAATGCATAAATGTTTTCTGAATGTGTGTTTGTAACCTATTGTTTCAAGTATTACTTGTATTCTCTGTTCTTTGTATACATATCAGTATCAATGTATATCTTCTTGCTTAGCATTTCTCAATCTTTTAGTTACCATTTCACTCCCTCTCTAATCTGTCACAGACCACTAAAATGTGAGTAAGTTAAAAACAAACATTATAAATTACATAAGAATATTTTGTAAGATTTTGTGTGTATTCCAAGGACCGGTAATGTGGTTGTGACAAACAAGCATTGGTTCATAGACTGGTTGAGAAATACAACTCTATCTTAAATACTGAGTGTGTCACATTTACTTCCACATCACTTGCCATATAAACATAGCATAAATGTTAAGAAAAACACTAAAATAAACTATAATTGAAAACAAAACTCAAGACTAACTTATCAATATTTATCAAGCTTCCCCTAAACTCCAAGTTTACTGCATAAATCACATCTGAAGACAATACAATCCAAAGGCCAACCACCTTGTTTGAAAAATAAAACTACCTTAGTTGAAGACAAATCATACTCTGCCAAAATATATATTTGTGTCTTCTTGTCCTACTGCCAAACTATATATTTGTGTCTTCTTGTCCTACTGCCAAACTATATATTTGTGTCTTCTTGTCCTACTGCCAAACTATATATTTGTGTCTTCTTGTCCTACTGCCAAACTATATATTTGTGTCTTCTTGTCCTACTGCCAAACTATATATTTGTGTCTTCTTGTCCTACTGCCAAAATATATATTTGTGTCTTCTTGTCCTACTGCCAAACTATATATTTGTGTCTCCTTGTCCTACTGCCAAAATATATATTTGTGTCTCCTTGTCCTACTGCCAAAATATATATTTGTGTGTTCTTGTCCTATCATTTTCATTATTAAATATTTGTGTCTTGTCATTTTCATTATTAAATATTTGTGTCTTATCATTTTCATTATTAAATATGTCTTCTTGTCATTTTCATTATTAAATATTTGTGTCTTGTAATTTTCATTATTAAATATTTCTCTTCTTGTCATTTTCAATATTAAATATTTCTCTTCTTGTCATTTTCATTATTAAATATTTGTGTCTTGTAATTTTCATAATTAAATGTGTCTTCTTGTCATTTCATTATTAAATAATTGTGTCTTCTTTGTCATTTTCATTATTAAATATTTGTCTTGTCATTTTCATTGTTAAATATTTGTGTCTTATCATTTTCATTATTAAATATTTGTGTCTTATCATTTTCATTATTAAATATTTGTGTCTTGTCATTTTCATTATTAAATATTTGTGTCTTGTAATTTTCATAATTAAATATTTGTGTCTTGTCATTTTCATTATTAAATATATGTCTTGTCATTTTCAATTCTCTAAGTTTCCTGTCATAGTAGTCAATATAAACTTCATAAATTCATAATGCTTTTCTTGGATTTTACCCTCTATTCCCTGATTTTGTACTTGCAGCCACCATTTTTTTTCTATAATGAACATATTGTTAGGACAGCGGAAGTCGCGCGACACTGGGAGCATGTGCTGGAGTTCTAGAAAGATCGAGAAACCTGTTGAACGTCTTAGCGTTTGCTAGACATGTGCTCTTATAGTATATAAGCCAGCAAATAAAGTGATGGGATAGATAATTGCAGACAGACAGAGATGGACAATTGAGTAAAGCGCGGTAGTGATCGTAAGTAAAGTGCATGAATTGTTGTGAATTATAGCGTGTGTTTAAGTTAAAGTGACTGTGGAAATTAAGTGTATTGCAAAGTTGTATTGAGAAAGAATAAACTAGTTTTATTTAAGAAAAGACTTGTATTGCTGAAGTTTCTGCGAAAAAATTTCTATAGAAAATTAACAAACGACCATTGACGTAACAATATTGTTACGACAGCAGAAGTCACAGGATGCTGGGAGCATGTGTGACTTGAGTTTCTCAACTTATCGGGAAGCCCGAGTGTGTTCGAGAGACGCCTCTTTGTTAGTATATAAGCCTGGCGAGAAAAGCTAGCGGGATTGAATGTATAGTTAAGCAAACAGTAGTTATGTTTTTTTCAGGTGAATTACGATTCTGTTTCAAGCTAGTGTGTGTTTTGCACTCGTAGAGAGAGAAGTTATCGAGATTGTGAATTGCCGTGATTTATAGCTTGTATTATAAAAGTTGTTAAGTTGAAAGTGACGAGAAACGCACTGACTGTGGAATTACTGTGTACTAAAAGTTTGTATCGAGAAAGAATAAACTAGTTTACCCAAGAAAGGACTTGTATCGCTGAAGTTCCTCAGAAAGAATTTCTACTGGAAATTAACAAACAAGCAGATACGTAACAATATCTGTCTTGAATATTTTTCCACGTTTGATCAGTTCCCAATTAATTCAGCTGCCCAATGCACAACAGATAATTCTTTTCATATCCATTCAAAATTTTTTTTTGAAACTTATAAACAAAATTTCATTATTTCTGATCTCTCTATGTAGTAAAACATGAAACCTAATTAATCACTTGGACAGAGATGTTTCCCAATCTCCACTCTCTCAACTATTTCTTTATTAGAAAATTACAATAAATCTAAAATAGTATTGTTCCTAGTAGGTTCCCTAACTAATTGGTGATGAAAACCATCCAGAAAAATTTGTAAAAACCTGTCTCCTAAATGGTTGACTTTTAACATTTCCCAGTCTATATGCTTGAAATTAAAATCCACCATAATTATGACCGTATTAACAGCTGAATTCTTTACCTCACCCTAGTGTTTTTCATTAATTCCATCTAGTGGCCTATAACAAATTTCCAACTAAATGTCTTTTACCCCTGTATCAACCAACAGAAACCCAAACAGATTCAATCTCCTTGTTATTATCTTTGTTATTCGTAACTTCATTAGGGTGTAACTCACATTTTACATATAAAACCACTCCTCTGTTTAGTATTTTATCCCTATTAAACAATGTATAATCTTGTATTTAAAAGAAATTTCTCTTAACAGAATCCTCC